TCTGTTAACTAATCCAACAAGTGATTCTGAAATGAAATGACGAACCGGGATCCCATCCTTTTGTAGCCTGCAAGAAAGGGATATGCCAAATGCCAGGTTAGCTTTTGCATACCAACTCAACGGAGCGCGATGAAAGAATATCACACACGTTAAACCCATTCGTCCCACAGCCGGGGTTATTACCGATTGTCACATCATTCAACGCTTCTATGCCTTTCTTGTACAGCAATGGGTTCAGGAAACCTAAAGGGGGTAGATCGTTGGCGAGTCGGACGTCGTTCAGTAGTGCGACAATTCCAGCAAAGGTCGGGGATGAAGCAGACGTTCCCGATATTAAGAAAGGACCTCCGCCAATGAAGACGCGAAAATTGAGACCCTGCGCGGAGACGTCGGGGTACGCCTGTTCAACGATGTTCAGGTGTGAGAAAGTAAACGAGAGTAGCCGGTGGAAATGAGATCCTTACGCGCCCAGACCTGCAACGTGAAGCAGGCTCAATGAGGACCGTACTTGAGATGATGAAAAGAAAAGGTACGTACCTATTGAATAAATCGTAATAGTTATCGCCGAGATTTTCTAGGTATTTATTGACCGCTTGATCTTGATACCACGGACGTTCAAACTGGCAAACAAGCCTGAGCAAAAGCTGAAAAAAAAAAAAACAGTAAAAAATATTTACGCTAGAAAGACACCATTAATTTGAAAAAATTTAAACAGCAAAGACTTGACCTACTAATCACTGAACCCACCACCCGAGAAGGAGACGGCTTCCTCCGGAATGCCTCGCGTACCGCCCACAGCCGTGACACTATCAAATTTTCAAGCAATTGGAGCAAAAAAAATGCGGTGGAGGCTTACTACGGGCATGATCTAGGTAGACCAAACAGATCTGTCAGCAGAGGTTTTATCAACAACATGAAGACACTTGCGCCGGAAACACAGGAAGAAAGCGTGTTTGATTTTTTCCATCGTTGGTCATGCACGTCTGGGCTTGAGGATCCGGATCGTTGTTGCCAACACCCCCGTCGCCACTAGAAAATGTGAGTGTGACTCCGCGGCAGGCTTTTTGAGGATGCATAAGTTCAGCGAATGGAATGTACTCGGAGGGTGAGAACTGACCAAGCTCGAGAAATCGTAAGCAAGTACGACGTGCGTAATCCTCTGGTACTAAAAGAAGCCACTCAACGAGGGAAAGATTGGTTACAATCCGGACCATTTCACTTACCCGTCTGTTCATAGTCTCCATAACTAAGAGATGTTTAAAATAGCACGTGAAAACGAATATCTGTGAACTCTCACCTTGTTGATATCACGAAGGGAACTTCATCTTGAGCTAGAACGTAGTCGAGCCACTAAGGAAGTAGGCGGTGAGAGCACCACATAAAAGGGAGCGGGCGTTTATATCTCACCTTTGAATAAGGTTCATTCGTATTTGTTTCTGTTCCCTTATCAGGCATGAATGGGGGTTCCCCACCAGTCGAATAGAAGGTCGCAGGTGTCGGATAACTTAGTCCAAAGGCGAACTGCACGTCCAGGTCTGCTTCGTCGCCAGCTTGTTCAAGAGATTGGTTGTTTAAGCCGCCTTTATTAGGTTCATCGATGAGCCCGAAAAAATGACCCGGAAGGAAATGCAACGTTACCGTTGACAAGTATTACGTCGAACGAAGAATTAATTGCTTCTGGTCTCTGATCCGCGTAAAAGAGACTCAGATCCTTGTTGTTGGCGAACTGGTCCAAATATGCAGTGACAGCAATTGAGTTCTTTGAATAAGCTTGGGGTTTGAACCCATTGATCTGGTACAGGTTTTGAAGGCAAGAAAGAGTGACCGTGTCATTGCAACTGGCGTTAGCAGTGGCACTGGGTGTCAAGTCGCTAACAAGACCCTCGTTCAGGGTTTCATCCAAGGCGATCTTGTTCTTAGTTCGGTACATGGTAGACTTCATGCGAGATAAGCGGGCAAACGTCGTTGTGGGATGTACAACATCGATATGATGGTGAAGGTGTTCTGGGAGACTGTAACTAGTGGTGCGAACTATAGGACTTCCATCTTCGTGTTTCCAAACGTGATAAATCTTGAGGGTATCAGAGAAGAGAAGTCTACAACAAATCTTATAAGTTAGGACGTACTGTATCAAGCATTTGTTCTGCCTGACTGAGCGGGACTTGGACAATAGCCCAATCTTGCGCGGGGGTACGAGAAATCGCGTCCGAGTTTATGCCATGAGATTGTAGCCATTCATCTACAAGCTGTACGCTCTGCTCAAGCGGCGCGATGAGGGCTTCTACCTCTGCTTTGGACAAATGCTGGCCATATCGCCGATGGTCTGGGTCACTAATTTCGAGCAAATGTTTCTCCAGGAATGAAATATGGGGCTGGGTGAGACCGATTCGAAGCTCAATACGGCTATCTGGATGGGGTAAACCGTGTCTTGTCCATCCTCTCGGAGGCTGAATAGCCTGCTTGCGACGGCTGGGAGACAGAAGCTCTGGAGGAACAGCGAGGGCGAGACTTGTCAGGGAAAGAAGACCGAGAAGAAGAACCTTCATGGCGAGAAGCTAGAGAAAGACCTGATGAACCAGTCCATTTATATCGATCGAAAGCTTGAGCTAGGGGTTAAAAGAGATGCAAGTCCATTGGAACCTCCGACGCGTAAATAAGCGCCCAGACGCGTCTTTGATCCATACTGCCATCATCCATGCCTTGGCTGTCACCCACAACTTTTTCTCGCCCAAATTTCCGTCATCTTTTCCTCGGTATTCTTCTGGGCTTTTCACTTTCCTTGACATCGACTTCTTTGGCACCCTTCTTCCGAGCACGCCGCAGAAAACGACTAGAAGCTCATTTCGAGCCCAGGCCCATCGAGCTTCGAAGTGACGAGATTTTATCTGGAGTAACTGGTCTGATAGGTATGATTCAGCTCGAGCTTTTCATGTACTCAACCATCTCAGGGTTTCACAGGGAACACACCACTCATCCGAATCAACTCTCTCAGTGATGTTCTTGGCGTCGAGATTTTGGGAAAAGCTGAAGTTTGTTCCTTTATTCCCGCTATTCCAGTACCAGAGATTTGATTTTAATTGTTTAGTTTTTAAATCCAGGCGGCAGCGTCAAAGATCGCGTAGCTTTACGCAGTATGTACAAATGTCCAGACTACATTCCATTCAGCAATTCACTACCCTTTCCCAGTGATTGATGATGCCGAAACTGCTGGCCTGCTACACCCTCATACTGGCTCAAGGATTTTCGAAGGAACTGTCGGCTCAACCGGAATTTCTATCGCTACAATTGCTCGCGCCAGGTCATTTCTTCTCCCTTGGTTTCACGCGCTTTACTAAAAAACGTTTGTTAGAGGATATGACGTTAGTATGTACGTCCAAAGGTAGTCTGAATGACGGCTCTAACTCGTCCAAGCTATCATTATGCCAGACGATGTGGCTGAGGAAAAAGTCAAAGCTTTGCATGCTCTAGGTGCAGATGTAGAAAGAGTTCGGCCTGCAAGTATCGTTGACAAAAAGCAGGTAAGCTTTTTACTTGATCTCATCCGGGTTCTTCTGATATCAACACCTCTTTCAGTATGTTGTAAGTGTCAAACAGTGTAACCGGGAAAGTCGGCCCACAAATTCTTCCAGAATGTAGCAAGACGGCGCGCCCTCGAATTCGGCAAGCATTCCCCATCTGATAGGCCGCATCTAGTACAAGCACCGTCATCGATGGTGGTATCCACTAGTGGCGACGAAGCAAATTCTGATGACCTTGTGAAGAAACCTCGAGGTTTCTTTGCGGATCAATTTGAGGTAAGCAGACTCTAATTAAAACTCTCTAGACCTCTCAAAAAGATATAGAACAGAAGCAATTATGACGCCCATTACGAGGGAACAGGACCCGAAATATGGAGGCAAACGAACGGATCTGTGACTGCGTTTGTAAGGTTAGTTTCATCACATTCTACCAACAAATTAAACGACAAACTCTGTGTTCCCTAGCGGAGCTGGTTAGTTTCAGTTCGTCACACTCTACCAACAAATTGAAGAACAAACCCTTTTCGTCGTGCGTAGGGACTGGTGGGACTGTAGCTGGGATAGGAAGATATCTTAAATCTATGAACAATGAAGTCATTGTCACAATATCAGATCCCGAAGGAAGTGGGCTTTATAACAAGGTTTGTCACAGCTGCAGGTCACTTCAGCCTACAATCGTTACACTTTCTGCTTAGATTAAACACGGCGTGATGTTTGACAACAAAGAGAGCGAAGGCACCAAACGCAGGCACCAGGTCGATACTGTGGTCGAGGGCATGTACGTTCAAGGTTTACCTTCCACTCTGTACTAAAATGTATCCCCTATGTAGCGGCATCAACCGTCTAACGGACAATATCTCTCTTGCTCTCCCAATCATAGACGACGCTTTTAGGTTCGATGTTTCTTTTACCCTGGTTTATGGGATTTTCCTCGAATTTCTTTGAACAGAATCACCGACGCAGAAGCTGTTGCAATGTCCCGATACCTTGTTCAACATGATGGACTCTTCCTTGGCTCAAGCAGTGCATGCAACTTGGTCGCTTGCGTTAAACTTGCTCGAAAAATGGGATGGAAAGAGGGCCAAAAAATCGTTACGATCCTGTATGTTCCGTTTCTTCGCGAGAACTAAATTTCGTCTTAGTGAATCGTTTGCCAGATGTGACTCGGGGAACAGACATTACTCCAAGGTTTGTCGTGATTTACTTCAAGGTGTATTGCTGACGAGAATGATTCGGTTCGATGTTTAGTTTTGGTAGGTCTTCCCTTGGGAATCTTAAGCATTGGCTCATTGACCACTGCAGGAACGACGATTACTTACAAAAAGCAGGGATTCCTATTAATCCTGGTATAATTATGGATATGCTGTCAGTTTAGATAGCATCCATTGTTCCATTGTGTAGTAGAATAAATTAGCGAGGAAATTTTTTGCTACTACACTGATTACCATAAAATATATTGGTTACCACAAACATAGTTGGTATGCCTTCTTAGCTCAGGGGTAGAGCGTTCCACTCGTACGCCATAGAGATCGTGCGCATGGAAAGGTCGCTAGTTCGAATCTGGTAGGAGGCATTGGGGGTTATTTGATTCCCCTTTCACTTTTTTATTATCGGGGGAGAATAAAAGATCCGGCGTTCACGCCGGTCAATGGGCAGAAAATTTGAGTGGAGACATACATCTGGGCTTTGCGAGTCAGGAGAGAGGATAGAGTGGGGGGTTGGACTTATCGCTCGGGCTGAGCCTCCCGCTCCGAAGTTGGTGATCCCACAGTCGGTGTTAGTTTCTCGTTTGCTCGCAATTCGAATTTCAGGGTTCATTACTATAATGAGTTCAAGTTCCAGTTATTACTCTATATTAATCGATTAATACTACCATTATTGAATTTTGAAGCTATGCAAAAGCGCAAAGACAGTGAAGCAGGCACAGGCTACGAAACCCCACGGATAGCCAGATGGGTTCCCTTCAGTACTTGCAGACCACATCTGATAGCGAAACGAAACCGGTCAGTGTCGAGAATCTCACCGTCAATCCGCAGGGCTTACCCAACCACCAACTATAGGGCCAAAACATCGTGCAAGACTGACAATACTCTGAGCGATACCATTGGCATAGCCGACAGACTCCGGAGGAGTGACTGTGCAAGGGAATTGAGCACGACACGTCATTTATCTGACAGGTAAACAGCAACAAGAAATCTCACGATAATTCAATAGAACAGAGATTGCTGTATATGAGAATGTACTCGCACAGAATCGGACAGCCATACTAAATGCCAGAGCTAAAGAGGGGGAAAAATCGTGTTGGAAAACACGTTCGGGTCGAGATTCGGTAGAGGACTCGCATTACCTGACATCAAGGGCAGACTGCTGTGGCTTTTGGGTCCGGCGAGAGGTTCTCGGAAGAAAACGACCATTGTGTAGGATAGGACAAAGAGAATTGATCCAATGCGGAACATTGTAAGGTGGGAGGCAGGTCCTCTTGGAGGCCCCAGATGACTGAGGGGGATGTTTCAGTACCAATTATGCGTTCGCGCACGAGAGATGGGCTCACGGGTATAAATAAAACTGGTAGAATATCTGCGCCAGTGTCATTAAGCCAACTAAATAGATCGTCAGATGAATTAGCAGTGATTGAAGGCACAAAACGTACTCAGTTGAGCAAAGTGACCTGCATTAAGATTCAGTCCGCCAGCTCCGTATGATCTATAAGGCATACCAATGAGCCCTAACAATGCCAACACATCTCAAAATGAAACTCACGTTACGAGATACGACAGGAAAACCTGATCATGAGTCGTACTGTGCAGCGCCAACATTCCATATTGCACAATGACCAGCATCGGAAGCTGCGAGGCCAATGACATCGATTTTTCTTCGACAGGATGATGGGTAGCAACATTGGATTCAGGGATTGGCGCAAGATCTTGAAAGTCTCGATTGGGATGGGGTGAGGATGTACTATCTGCTTCGACAGGTGCTTGAATGCCGGAATTGGAGAAAATCGTGGATGTAGGTCGGTATGCGCCAGAATTTGAACGCTGGGGGGAGTTGATGATGCTCGGTGATTGTGAGGCAAGAAGATTCACCCCAGGACGGGCCCACGAAGTTGGTCGAAGCGGCTGAGCAACACGACGAGGTAATGGGGACGGGATGACACTGGTTGAATCTGAAGGGCCCGCTGCAAAGTCGGACGATATAAAAGCCTCAGGCACCACAGAGTCATCTCCAACCGCGTTCTCTCCATCCACTGAATCCATCTTGTCGGCAACACCTTCTTCATCCTCATCATCATAATAATCATCCAAATCGAAACCGTCGTCCACATTCATAGCCGCCGCAACCCACAAATCCGCCATACTCGAAACTGCATTTTCGTTCGCCAGCAAGAATTTCCGCGCGAGGCTCACGTCGCTGCTCGTGCTGAACGTACTAATCCGTCTGGATAACCTGGCATTGGTGGCAGACCGAGCGAAGAATGGGCGAGGTCTGCGGAATCCTGTTGTGGTGCTGTCCACAGTAGTCGTACGGTACATCGAGACGCCTCGTCGGCCAGTAGCAGCACTCTCCGTGGTGCCAATACGGTGCATTGATACACCCCGTCCTCGTCCCCGTCGGCCACTACCGGCACTTTCTATGGTGGTCGTACGACGCATCGGAACGCCCCGTCGGCCAGTACTGATACTCGACATTGTTTGGGTGCGTCCGCCGAGTGGTACACCTACGATACCCAACTCTGGCGCGTTTGGATCTGGGAAGCGTACGGAGCCGGCAGAGTATTGCGGCGGTGTATAACCGAGGATGGGTGTAGTCTCGTCGACCTGTCCAACCTCTATCTTTTCGTAAGATTCTGGAACCGTCGCGTCGGAATCTAGGAAGCATGCGAGACAGGCACCTAAATAGCGCGGAGACGTGAGACAAGACAAATTTTCGGAGAATTGAACAGAAACAGCATACCAATTAGCAAAATAGACCCCGCAATGGCGCAGGGTAATAAATATGGGTATTGAACAAAGAGGTGTATCTTTGTGAAAACAGAGGGCCACTTTACTGCAGGACGTTCAACTGAAGGGGAATCAGAACCGAGAGCCTTGACGATAAATCAAACACACATGTTCCTCCGATAACACTGCCAACAATACCACCCACACCCCAGCAAAAGCTAGAAGAAAGAAAGCGCGAATGAGTACCTCGAAACTGTCTCTGAGCCTTGGAAAACACTTACCCGAGTATAGCATACGCACGGCCCTCATTCGTAGCGTCTGTCACCCAAGAAACCGACCCCCGAACGACACCAATGGCACCAGCAAATACACCCTGCAACAGGCGGATGCCAATGGCGGGCCACAAAGACGTAGCAGCTCCGAAGCTCGAGCAAGTAACCGCAGCACCAAGGAGGGAAACTACAAGGACAAGCTTTCGGCCATATTTTTCGGCGATACTGGCCCATAGCAGAGAAGTGAGAAATTGCGTGAGGAAAAATGAAGACACTGGGGTAAATCCTTATGAATGAGCATATTCGTCAGGCGAGTCCTAAGTGGCTCACCGAGAAGGCCGGTCCAAAGCGAGACTTCTGCATCAGAAGTGAATGATCCAAAGCCTAGTTTGTTTATAGTCGATAATGGATGACACGTAAGAGCATTCACTAAACGCCTTACCTTTTACCATAAACAACAGGAAGGGGGGAGATACACTGGCTGATAAAAATTCGCCTAGCATAGCCTGTAGCAAAAGTCAAAACGCATTCTTCGTCAGAGATGACAGAACGGAAAGCTCACAATAGACAAGACAGCCATCGCCAGTCCAGGCAAAGGCGTAGACTCGATACTACTGGAAGTCGGCAAGACCGTAGGGATTGGGGGGCGTTCATTGGTGTTATCGTCAAAATAATCATAATCATCATTATCGAAAATCTCATCCGAAAGAAAGGATTCCACAATGGATTGGGGTCGTAGCAAAGTCGAGTCGGTCATGAATGGGGGTGGTAGGTTGAGCGAAGAGGAAGGAGATGCGAAGAGTCCCGTACATTTAAAATTCTGGATATTTCATCTTTTAAGCATAATTGAGGCGCTCCACTGTACATGGTAACCAGCAAAGAATAAAATAAAATCACGCGCCTCCAAGGACTTCATCGAGCTCCCATGCCATGACATTTCCGGTCAAACTGCTCTCTCTAGCTGAGCAAATTCTGCCATTGCGCGAGTGATAACGACAAGGACGATAACGACAAGAGAAGAATGGCCAACAGCCAATTACCCTCAAAGGAAGGAGCTTCGCGGATCCACTTTAAAAATGATTCCGCTCATCTAAATTTTCAGCGCGGGATCGAAGGAGGCGGTGAGGCTCGTAGTGGCGGGCAGATTCTGAATATGGGTTCTCGCCATTACGTCTCATTTGTGCCCCAATTGCCCCGGGGCACTTCCTGAAATATATTCGTTCACGGTACAGTACATTGCCAAATTAAACCAGCGGCACAGTGTACAGGGGTGTTACAAATCGACAGAGACTCGGAATAAAGAAATACAAAAACTAGGAAAGTAACGCGTCAGCAAACTTGAAGAAGAAAACAACTACTCTTCGCACCACTTAGTATTAAGCTCCGAAACCATACAAGGTACGACCAGATCGTTTCAAGGCATACACAACGTCAAGAGCCGTTACAGTTTTACTATTCAGCCAGAGTCAGTATGAGGCGATTCAAAATGGCGTCAAAACTCGCCGTTTGGCGTGCTCAGTATAAGTTACAGAGTCACGGATGACATTTTCGAGGAAGATCTTGAGGACACCGCGGGTCTCTTCGTAGATGAGTCCAGAGATACGCTTGACACCTCCACGACGAGCGAGACGACGAATAGCAGGTTTGGTGATTCCTAGAAAGCTCTCAGAAACGGCAAAGTCAGTCAATTCGTAAAGGTGACTGACCTTGAATGTTGTCACGAAGAATCTTCCGGTGGCGCTTAGCACCTCCCTTTCCAAGACCCTAAGTAGAAAGGAGATTGATGAATACTCGTCGTTGAGAACCAAGACTCGAACTCGCTCACTTTTCCACCTTTTCCACGTCCAGACATTGTTTCTAAAGACTGAGATGATGGTGGATTGAGATTGAGTTGTTGTTAGACGCGCTTTTGACATCTAGCGCTCAGCCCCTCATATGAACCACGCGCCGCTGACGCAAGCCCGAGACGGAGCTCGTTAAATTATTTTTACTCTGCCCAGTGCCCACCATGGTCCAAGAAAATGGAGCACTCTCTCTAGACAAAATTCTCAGTGAAGATCACGATACAATAGACGATGCTGCAATGAATGATCAAGTTGCTAGCGGATGGGACGAGGAAGCGATAGATAGACCGGTCACTGAAGGTTATTGTGTAGAATGTGAAGGTTAGTCTATAGATTGTTGTCAAATAGTTGTATAGGCTCATAAAATACATCATAGATCAGCCTGCCCAAGTTTTCTGTGAATCCTGCACCGATGCCTATTGCGATGTTTGCTTCGCCGCGCAACACCGGAAGGGTTCAAGGAAATCACACAAAACCAAAGTCATCCAAGTAACTCGAAGAAAACCAGTTGAAAAA